AATACATTAGTATTAAAAATTGGTTTTTCAATTTCTATTTGTGCTGCTGATATATCCATTTGTTGAGTTAACTGTATCAGTCATGCGCGCTGTGGTTGGCGCCTGATGCCTTTGTAGCGACTGGTTAGTTTCGCGCCAAAAACCAATCACTCGATGAGTCCAAGCGTTTGTTATGTCTTAAAAAAGCCATCTTATATATTATAAATACACTGACACGAACCAGAAATATATTCCGTATGATTCACTGACAAATATTTAACCTTCACTTTCGCTGAAAATTTCCAACAGTAGAGTGATAAATGTTTACTCCTTACACTAAGAATTCTTCGCATTTGAAAAATAACACCCATTTCTCGTGCATAAGATCTGGTTAAGTCTAAGTCCCTTTGAAAAACAACTGCATTGTCTTTGTTTACTCTGTTTACGCTTGTGGGCTAGAATTAATTTCGTTTCACCTATTTCGCTGGCTATTTCGGTCTATTTCGTGGTTGCACTGAACTTTGCAACACCATGGAAATTTCGCTGTATTACAAAAGATTGATTTTGAAGCATTGTATTGTGAACCTGGTTATCAATTAAAAGATGCAAATAAAAATTGCCTAACCTAAGTAATCAGCTCCCGAACTTATTGGTGAAAAAGAAAACAAAACAATGTTTGAATAAACCTTTATTTGTTATTATCCCATTACAAGTACCACATCAATTATCAAGTTGAGGTAATTTTTCTGCTGTAATTTTAAGACCAGTACTAAAGATTCATTAGCATTTTTGCATTTATATTTTAAATAAGGCTAAGAAACGAATTTCCGCAATCAATCAACTTGTCTATCCACCTCCATATGAAATTTCCATACGGATAGATGCCATTGGCCATTGGCCATTAGAAGACGACTTTTAGAATTTAATGATGAAACGGCTTTTGTCTGTTTTCTCAAATCATTATTCCTACGCCAAAGGACGTTTCGTGTCATTTTCAACTTTATTTTCGGAAATTGGAGCGTTGTATCTGATACCGTGTATTACAACGTGTGGGGTGTTTGGACCGCACGATGGTTGATTTCAAAATTTCCAATTTCATTGCAAGAATAGATCACTTAATTCTGCAAGTCTAAGAATCTCATTTGTTTTAGAATCAGAGATTCAGAGATTCAAACGAACAGAAACAGGTAAATGTTAAACGGTGAGTAAATTTTATACATACAGTTCTCAGACAATTTTTGATAATTAGGACCATTAGGAATATGAAATGAAAAATAAAACCTATAAAGAGTATTTCAGTATTTACGTAGATATAAATCATACAAAAGAAAGGTGCTGAATTTCTATCAATAAGAAAGAAAGTTTGCTTTCGTGACTTTTAGAATCGATCTGGCTCGAGCGTCACCTGCCTCCATATTGGATCAGCGCATTATTTACCAAGGAAAAAAACATCAAACGAAAAATCCATCCAAAGAGCATACAATGTCGATTCGCTTATCACAAACTTGTTTCCGTAAGATCAAGAAAAATGATGTTCCAAAATTCGTTGCAAAGCAGCATTTATTTCCTTGCAGTGTATGTTTCTTTCCTTTTTCCTATAATTCTAGCCAATAGCAATCTAAGAAGTGTGATAGCATCTAAGAAGTTAATGGCACTCTTAAGATGCATAGATGGGTTGCTTCGTTAAAATACGACTTTAAAAATATTTATCTTTGCTTTGTATAAAAACATTTAATGGTTAAAGAGTACCTTGGATGAATCTCAACCAATTTTTGTTAAAGGCTAATTGTCCGAGTCGAGAAAAGTTGACCACCAACCAAAAATAGAAATAAATTAATCACAAACAGCATCTGACTTACTGGGCGGTTTTTGTCTTGATTTCACATCCGAAAGTAAGAAGGTTATTGTGATTAATTTTCCGAAGTTACAATGGGCTTTTCCTGTGTTTTATACATTTGTAAATTTTAGAATACATTGTAAGACACGAAACTGTAATAGACGATCGTAAACTCACATTTCTGAGGAAACCGAAGGCGTACTTGAGCGCCATGTGACTCTATCCTAAGACGTTGTGTAAATAAAAGTAGCAATGTTTACCTTAATTGTTCTCAGATTATGTCGGTTTTTATTTGCCATGTCTCCAATTATCAGAAAAGAATTCAAGTCTCTTCTTTTACAATTTCAAACTGTGGTGTCTATTGAAACACGCAAAGCTCCCCGCATTAAAGAAAGTTAAATTGAGCGGGTCATTATATTATGCGCCAAACGAGGAAAAGAGAAAACGAGAACCTAAACAACGCGCAAAGAAGATTAACTTTGGTTAAATTTTGTGCGGTGCACTTAATACGTGGGAATTCCAAATCGGCTACGAATGATTCATCAGAGCAACAAAATAAATTAGTTTGGTTGCTCAGCTTTTGAAATAGGGACGACCTAACTCTGTCGTAAATTTTGAGTACTGTCAGTTTTATGTTTTCATATGGTTTTGAACTTTCTCTTCATATTGTTCATTATTTTTTAATTTTTGCATCCATGCAAATTATGAGCATGGAGATCAAAACAGATACTGAATAGTACTAACCTGAGTTGATTTGTCTGTGTTTTCATTGAATAGTTCTATGGATATCCCTATTTAATTTATTTTACCATGAGATCGTTCACTGTATAATTTAAGTGTTGTTGACGTCGTTTTTATTTTCAGCGTCCAACCCCTTTGGTAATTATTAGTATTATTATCATTTCATTAGTATCATTTTTTGATTGTCATTATTATTAAAAGTGTGTATTGCAGATGTATATTTGTTTTTTTGGCCCAGGTCAGAGCATTTTCTTAGCTGAACTTCAAGTTTAAGAACTTAATCGTTTTTCTTCTTATATATTATACATACATGTTTACTTATACAATAAGCTGTTTGATTGGTTCTTACCTATGTTATATTGTAGGACGGATATGTAAATGCTGTCACCACGAAAAACTTTACTTTTTTATCATAAAAAAAACAAATGATACCATGTTGCCGCGTATCTGTTCAGTAACAGACCACAAACGACGACAAAATATGGCAAGAATACCATTGACACACCCAGCAGCGCCTAGCGTGCCGCTATTTTGTTCTTACGAAATTTTGACGTCATCTGTGATCTAGTACTGAACACACACACTGGAAAATGAGACTTATCTTTTTTTTGAATGAATAAATACCGTTTTGAAACCCGGCAGTTGTCTTAAATTCGTGTTGTAGTTCCAAATGAAAGTGATTCATTAAAGCTGAGATAAAATCTAAATGAGCTCTTTTATAACAGAGGTAGCCTGGAGTACTTGTATCTATCTTTGCCACTGGCAATGACTGGTAATCCTGTGTTTTCGGAAACACAATTGAACATCTCTATGTGGCTGCTGTGTGTATTTTCCGAATAAATATTATTGCAAAGATAGTTTGGTTATTTCAAAGTGTTGTCGATAGTAAGATCAAAATTTGCATATTAAATAATGTATGTTATTATAAATGTGAAAATGAGATATTTTTTATCGAGCACTGAAGGGAAATGAAGTATATATCTCTTACCTCTTCTTTAACGTCTCAAATACTAGCAAAGGACTATATTATTTTCCCGAGATTGCCGTAGAACTGTAGAAAACGACAGAAAAATCGTAGACCTTTCAGATGTAACTCTACAAATATATGATCGTTCCTTAACGAAAGCCGAAGTCACTGCGTTGTCGTGCAATTTGTGTAGCAAAAGCTATCCTTATATTTGAATATTTAAGTTCTAAAACCTAAGCTGACGTAATTATGTGTCTACGCTATTATCAAGACATCGAGAAATTTTCCACTCAGTGGTCCATAAAATTCAGGATAAGTAAATTGACCAAGTAGACTCTTATTACGTTTGTGCTGTGGCTGGGTGTGAATAAGTAGCAATGTTAGTTTGAGAAATCTTGTAGATTTCTTTCACAGGTCACCGCTCAAGGAAAGCTATGATTTTAGTACAGAATTCTATATAGTTTCCAGATTAAGAGATCCTTATCAGCTCTTGAACACCCTTATAACGTCTCGAAATCCATTAGCGGCAGCGACCGGCTGTAAGTAAGGTAAATCTGCCACGAAAGGAGAACGAGTCTTAATATGCCTTTTATCTTCTAAGATATGGTGCCTATCCTTCTCTTTAGCAATTTATGTACTTTGAACTCACCCTGTTGTTATCCTGTTAGCGTGAAGCTCCTGAAAAGTAAACTCGCTAGGGAGCCATCTAAGTCATACTTGAAAGGATGTATTTATTGCCTCATTTATTCTGTTTTTTTTTTACTGGCAGCATAGAAAGGAAGGTCATACTCATAATGGAAAGTCTTAAGTCCTTTTTTATAGGATTACTGAGCTCTTTTTAATTAAATTTTGCGTTTGGTGAAACTTGGAGTAATTCGAGGAATCATTATGAAAGTGTCTGGAGTAGAAATAAAGGACGCAAGTATAGTTATTCTTTGGCGAGTTTTAATAATCTTCCATGGCGGAATTTTGTATTACTTCTATTTTGTATGTCACTGTGTGGGATGGAAACGTCAATTGTAATTGATGATTTGTTTAGCATAAGTCTCCAATAACTTTTGACAACAATAGTTTACGAATCATTCGAAGGTTATATGATTATTTGATCGTCCACCAGCGTTGTTTTATTGGTAATTTTAATATCAACGAGATTCCATTTGTTTATTTTTCAAAAATTTTAATAAAGGTGTTTAAAGCAGGGAATTTTTGCCACACTGATCTAAATTAAACCTTGTTTGCAAGCGCCACGCAAAATGCTTAGGAACAATACATTCTCCCTTGAGGTTTCCCGATCATCAAATCTGTATTAAACGCTTCCAACTAGACGCACGTTGTCATTGTTTTTCAAAAGAGTTATTAAGTTTTTTATACAAACAGCTCGACAATTTACAAAACCTACGTAAACATGATATGGCTTGCGCGTGCGGATTACTAGGAAAACTTATCGTACAACATTTTACACGGAAGAAGTTGTGACGGAAAGATTCGTCTGAGCGCTGAGTGTTTCTGGACTTTTTCAAGTAAGTGAGTAGACGCTGGAACCTAACTTCCTTATTACATTCACAGCCGCATAGTGTAACTTAACCTCTCAAATAGCAAACATGTTATGTATATCTGGACTGGTTACGGTACTGATATTACATGTGAACGTGGCGACTTAATCAGACAACAAATGTTAGAATGTAGCTAGGATCTTAAGCGTAACTAAGCGGCCGTCTGAATAATTGACCCTACTTTAAAATTAAACACGACAACTCGGACCAGAATTTTATGGAGCAACGAAAACCTGTAATGCAGTGCCGTCGTGAAGCTTTGAAATGCTACAAATGTACTGAAAAGTACCTTCCGCTATCGCAAAACCGGCATTGCAAATGCGATCAAGAGTTACATCACGCATCTAGTTTTGCTTGTTTGATTTCTCCTTTTGTGGTAAACTATTCTACTTGCCAATTTGCATTGATTAGCATTCAGCGACTATTTTAAGTGACTCAATATGAGTGATTTTGTTTCAGTTATTGGATAATTGTCTTTGAAGAAAAGGTTAGCCGAGGTTTGAAACATAATTTGGTTATGTGAAATTACATAACTGTCCTGATGTCGATAATTCTTTTACATTTTGCATGAAAATCGAGAAATAGCTGAATGTCACTTGAGGGATCGATGAATAACCTGTTCGCGGGCTCAACTTAATCATCAATGACATTCCAAGTCCAGTCTCTTTACATTTATAGATGTTTATGGGCAGGCCAAACTGATTAAAAATAACTCTTTTTTAACCGAAGAGTGAAAAATAAAGAAAACACTAAATACCGTTTCCTGACATGGTGACCTTGTTTTACGTTGCTCTCAGGTGTGGAATATAAACAAAGGCTTCCCACTACGCATACTTAATGGAATTTGTCTCGGTTTAGCGACAGGCAAATACGTCGTAGTTAGGCTTTTTTCACACAATAAAATACCCGCTAGAAATGCCGCACTTTGACTCTTCTTCGATATTTGTAAGTTAAAACAATTTTTTTTTTTTAGCAAAACAGAAACGGGTTACAGGCGTGTAGTTATAAGGTTCATTTCCTACCCTGATCTTGGCGGAGACCACTCAAAGTCCTTTAGAAACGTGATCCATTACAATTTGCCTCCTTGTTTTATGATCAATCTTGTAAAATATGATAGAACTTCAACAACTTTCCTTAACTGAGTCCAAAGTTAAGTTAGTTCTCGTAAACTGATTTGAGTTAACAGGAAGTCAGCGTTCATTACCATGACGTAGTGTGTTTGATGTAGCAAAATCAAATATTGAAGGTTACCAAAACATAAACTTCAGCCAATTATCTGTAGGAGTAAGATAACAAATTCACACAGACCAAGGTCACCAGTTGTCACCAGGTGACAAAGTACGTCTTAGAAATATAAAAAGATTTTTTAAGAAACGTTTCTCTACAAATGGTCAATCTTTCACTCTGATTCCGTGATAAGTTGCTTTAACAGTCTCCCTATTGAAATGCTGAAACTATGAGAGACAAACCTGGGAAAAGAGATAAAATTTAATAAGATCATTAAAAGAGGAGGCTGTTTTTAATTCAGAAATTTGATGAATGAAAACTAGTATATAAGAATTAGTTGGTATCCTGACTTGCTTACTTTTTGTTCATTTGTATTATTACTGTCGAGGAGTAATTAAGTCTGACATGAATTTTTCTCATCGTTCACGGAAATCTTTTCTATACATCATATCATCCAGATTTTCTTGTCACTAAAAAACCGATGAGGACTCACGCAGGGTCAGAATAAAACGATTTCAAAACAGAGATAAAGCGTTTTTATTAAAATCCCCATGAACTGTAGTCTAGAAGTTTACAGAAAAGTCTGATTATTTTTCTCTAAAATTGCTTTTGAGTATAATTTCTGATAAGTCGTGATGAAATGATAAAAAATTATCAAGATAGAAATGGTTTTGTAAACGTAAGCGGTATTGAAATCTTTAAAAAAGATTATGGAGTAAGGAAAAAGGGTTACAGGAAACCAATGACCCCTTTTTTTCGGTATAGTCTATCTTTGATCATCACTTACGCCCTGTTTTTTTTTTTTCCTCGTAAGACTTGTCTTTCTCAAGACAGACTTAGAGCAATTACCTCTGTATAATAAACATTAGAAATATTTTTTTGGAAAGTGTTCTTAGCATCAATCATGAGAAGTGATTATGAATGTACAAGGTGTTGTTGCTCCTGTGCGTATGGCGACCCCCTTTTACTGAATTTTTTTTTTTTTATCAACGTCAGTATCTAAGTGACTGCGTACTTACCCCTCCCCTGAACCCAACAAAAGTCAACTGATAACAAGTTAAGGTTAATTTTGGGTCTAGGGGAGGGGTAGGTGCTGAGGTACTGACACTGATTATCATGATTTTGGCCCATTTATATTAACATAATGTAAGATCTTGCTCAAGAAATTTTTTCCTTAAAAAGAGTATACGACATTTCATTTCGAGATTACGTTCCAATTAATTTTCCTTGACTCTTGACACGCCTAAGAATTACACATTGAGGTCACAAGAATACATCAATCTAAAAATTTTAGTTTTTCCCCCTCATTTTTCTCTCACATATTATTCATCCACATGATATCTGAGAACTGCTGGGAAAGAGAATCGTTTAGACTTATCAAGTGAAGAGTCAACTGAAACGGCCCACGTGTTTCTTGTCATTAAAATTAATGCTTGTGACATGCGTGACTGATTCTCGCTGATGGCTGTATTTTTATACAATTTAATAAGAGCGAACAAGACCAGGTCTGTAATGTACAAAATGGAACTACATCGTGATATAGGTAAGATTTCAAGGTCTTTTGACAATTATTTCTAGATAGGATTTGGGATATTCTGAGCTATATTCTCGACATAAATAAATGATGACAAAATGCATGTCCCTACACTCAGATCGTCTACAAAACATATTGGTTTATTTTGATTTCTGATGGTTATAGACCAGTTTGTCAATTTGTAACCGCTTGAGATTTTTTCATTTTGAACGAGGCTTCAAGTGAACGTTTGCATCCTTTCTCTACGAATAATTCATAAGCTGTCATAGCCTGTCACCCGGCTATTCAATCCGAAAATCTGTGTGAATGCAATCAGTAAGAGCTCGAGAAAACTAAATATCACAACAATGGAGGTAAATTTTGTGCCCTCAGAAGTGTCACTGATCTTTAGACCTCTATGCATCGTTGTAAAGTGACAAATCATTTGACGTTAAAACCCTTTCTTAAAAACGATATTTAGCCATAAAACTGGCCAGAGAGAAGGTATATGAACTAGAAACTAGTAAGATTTTTGCACAGTTCTCGGCAGCTTTGTCCTTTCGTGTTTACGCTCTTTCTCGAGTGAGGGTTATTGGTTTGAAATTTTTGTCGGATCATCGATCGTTAGGGTTTGGACTAAATCAGATACAATTTTTAGCCTTACCTCAAGACTTCCTAAAGCTTCACTCGCATATATTTTCTACATGTCATGATCCTAATGGTCGAGTCAGTGCTCAAATAATGGATTTTCCTTATTCTAAAGTTAATTCGAAAGCAAATCATTAATTACTAAATAATGAAGTAAGATATTTAGGTTCGAAAAGATTTGCATAATTAGCAAGATAATTCCTATATGCTGGTATCAGAATTTAAATCTCTGATGGTATTCGAGACAAAGAATTCAATGATGACATATTTCAGCCTAAATTCTTCAGTAACACGAGTGAAAGTTTGACCAATTGGCATGATATCGACTCCATCAATTGTTGAAGTAGTGTTTGAAAATAGCTGTCTTGTAAAACGAAGAATTTTAGATACATGGTGAGAATACTTCGTACCATCTGGTGATCGGCAAAATCTTAAGTATGTACCGGAATATTATGATAAGCTAAACTTCTCGAATTCAGTTTCTCATTGGGTTACAAAAAAAGAGTCTTATTATAAAAATTAAAAATATCATGTGTCATGGTTTTGTAAACTTCTGCCTAAAGAAAGTTTTTGGAATTGTATGCTCTCTTGTGGTTTATCAAAAATTTTTGAAGTTGGTGGTCCACTTCCACTTTTGGTAGAGATAATTTTACAGATAAGGAGAGAAAAAATATTCATCTGTCTACAGAAAATGAATTATTCTCCTTCTTTGCTAGTTACTAGTTCCAACGGCCGTCCGGCATCTATTTTCTTTTTATCACGGTCGTTTGTGTTGATAATATAGCTATGCATAAATGGAAACGTTACTCGACTGACTTTTTAGATTCTCGTTTCAGGCCCCTGGTTTTTCTTTTGTGAATCTCAAAAAAAAGAAAAAAAGATGAATAAAACCGTCAGCCAGCGCATGAATTTGCGTTGATCTGATTTTTCCTTTTAGAAGGCAGTTGTCCAGTCTGGTTTTCGTTTTCAGGCGAAATTGTTCAGTTTTGTTATACTCTTTGTACACTTTCGGAAAAAGCTGATGCTAGAATCTATATCTGACAAGAAAGGTGACATCAGTAGCATTATCATCTTTTTGCAATTGACTGTGTTTTACTTGATTTTTGAAAGTATTTTCGGATTTCAGTCGCTGCAATACGCATCATAGTTCATAATTGTAAACGTAATATACAGAAATGAGAGTCATAAATCAGTTCTGATCTTCTGATATTTCTCCTATTTATTAGACCGGGCCGTCCTTGAGAAGACTTTTTCTCGTTTCCTTAACAAAGGTTCTTTTTTTTGTAATAGATATGATAGCCGTATAATTTAGGTAAGATAGCTGGACAAATCACGTAAGGTATACTCTCTCGGTTTGATGATTTGTATTAAATAGAACAAAAAGATGTAAAAAAATGTTCAAGATTCTCTAAAAACTTTATGATATATTTTAATGGCATAAAGCGTTAAATGTAGACTTTTCCCTTGTTAGTTTGACGCCTTAGGGGTAGAACAGATGTACTATTAATGTCACCATGTTTGGTAAATTAATGACAATATCCTTAACTATGTATAATTATCGTGCCGACGGTCTGTCGTCGTTGCTGATAATTCTTTTATCTCAAAATTTCATCACAAGTGGTGATCAATGGTGTCTTACCAGAGACTTAGGCTACTCGCATTTTTGTCACTCATAGTTTCGTTAAGTTTTGAGTTTTTTTAAAAATCCCTACGCGCTGGTTTTTTTTTTAAATTTTGTGTCATAATTAGCCATGGTTGCTGTAGTTAACGGTTAGATATAAAGTATCCTAGTGTTATAAAGTATTGATAAATTAAAACTGGATTTTTCTTCATTCCCTATCATGCTCGTGTTTCTATTCTGGATAATCACAGTCTAATACTAAAACGATGCTCCAACCGAGAGCTTGGTGAAATCTAAGAGTATAAGAGTTCATTATAAATTGAAAATTTGATTTTACTTATTTTCAGCATGCTCTTCAGATTGCATCATTAAATTGACGATTTAGAATCAAGAATTTGAATGTTCCTGATTTATAGAGGGAAGGGGTAATCGATTTTCATCAGATAATGATGGAGGATAGTGATAATCCTGATGAAGAATTCATTCATCAACGAAAATGATTTTAAGTTTAAATAACTGACATGGTGGGATCTGGGGAAAGAATTCAGTCGAGCTGCATCAACCCACCTGCGTTTCACAAAATTGTAAGAAGAAAAATGGTGGATTACGAAATAAATGCTGTGCAAATGGTGCAAGTTGCAAGTTTGTTCTTGATGTATTCCTCAGTGCTTTTTTTATGTCTTCATTTAAATGGGATTCCCGTTAGCATCGAATGTAGCAATGCCACTGAGAGCCACGCATAACGAATCAACAAAACACCCAGTGCATTTTAGTAAGCCATTACTACTTTACCTTTGATTCTCGCTTTAAGGAACGTTTCTGTTTTTTACCAAAACCATCAACTTAGGAGACTAAAGGGTTCAATTGACTTGACTAGTTGCATACTTTCGGTAAAATTAAGGATGAATCCCTTGGTAAAAAAAGTCGTATTTAGAAAAGCAAACAAAATTATTGAAAAGGCGCATTACACTCTTATCTGCTAATGAGGGGTTTAACAAAGGCGCGAAAATCAAGAATACCTTCTTTTATTTCAATATCGTTTTTGAGTACCAAATATCGTTCTGATAGCTAATGTTTGCGACCAGAGGTACGATTCTGGCCAATTTTTTCTCTCATAGAAGAACGCAACATTGGCTCAGTGGCTAGTTTTTTGAAATCAACTTCCCAAGTCGGCTTCCTTTGAGACGCCAATGACAAAGCCTAGTAATTGACATACTCATTAAGAATTCCCTATGTATGCCGTCCGCCTACCGCTTTTCTTTCCAAATTGTTTATATTTTAACCGTTGTATTATGATTATGAGTTAAAAGATGTTTAAATTTTTTAAGTGTAAATTACATGAACTGGATGCATCTTCCCATCAGGTCTCGACTGAGAAGTACAAAGTTTCTCTCTTCTTTTTCGACTCAATTTTTTTCTATCTATTTTTAAAAATTCTTCTGCAAGTTTCTGTTCACAATAGTGGTCCAGATCGATTAGATTTAATTAAGCCCTACAAGTTCTATATATTTTATGTATTTATTTTCTTTAGCATTAAGGATAAAATCTCGTAAATGAGCAAAAGCAATTGTTTTAGTAAAGGAAAATATCGGAAAAGTTTGTTGAAACTGACAAATTCAACGTTACTCTTTGGCTTTAGATTTGAGTTGTTCGAATTATTTTACTCGAGTTCTTCTCACGTGCATCCTACCCTATAGAATTGTGTTTTTAACAAATGTTTTAAACAGAGACAGTATTTAAGTGTTAATACTAAAACTACCTTGCACTCTTTGAAAGTAAGGAATGTATTTTTATTCGACGTAGTGTATGGCCTCTCGGAGTGAAAATGCAAGTCCCAAGGACTTTTTAAGACTTATTTTCAACCTTTCCATCCTTAAAGAAAACTCAAACGTGTCGGCTTAAAGATTTCCTTTTCTTAAGTTTGACGTAAAATCTGGTCCTTAAAAGATTCTTCTTCGAAAAAATTTGAAACATTGGCAAAAGATAATTATTTTATCAGTTCTTAAAATGTAAGCAGCTATTGACGATCCAATACAATGAAAACAAGCTACAAGTTTCTGTTTTTGTGTTCATAGGTGTGGTCTGTAAAATTTCTTCAGGTGTGAAAAGATTGATCCAAATTAACAATGTAAATGGTAACAAGTATATTGGAAATAAGCATTTCTAACTGGCACGACCAACTGATTAATTCGTTGTTGCTATTAGTTTCTGTTTTTTTTATTCTTTCAATTTAATTCTACTTGGGACATTTTGTCGTTTATATACCTAGTTTATATACTAAGTTAAGTGGCTGCGTGAATGGTATCAGCGAAATAAGAAAATGAGAGTGTGAATTGTGTCAAAAACAGAATGTCGACCAGCCAATCAATATTTTAAGATAAAAAAAGTTTTAATATTCCAAGAGGGGTGTTTTCTCGCACTGATGATGATGCGAAGCACAATTTTGCAAATAAGTGAAAGGTTAATAAACTTCATGTTCAACCCTGTTTTAAGCTCAGTTTTAATTTTGCTCAAGATGTACATGGAGATTAATTTAAAAGAACATAAATTAACATGACAGAATTAGTTGGCCTTCCCGATGGATTTCTAATTTTTTTTCGTCCTGGGGACATGAAAACGAGTCTGGCAGACCACCTATGCAACTGCACTCTCCCTGAATTATTGTGGTTGGCTGCCTTGGCTTATGTAAAGCATAATTAGCTTATGAGTATGCTTTTGCAAAATAATGACAAACTGAACTCGCTGGCCAGCGAAAAAACTGTGACATTAGCTTTTTGAGAAAGAATGAAGTATTTTCTTTCCTCAAAGAAATATTTGTATTAGTTATAGCGAGGCTACATCGCAGAAGACTAAAACTAAAGGCGAGTTAAACATAATTAAAAAATAACCCTGTTTTCTGTTTTTCAATTTATTAAGATTAATCTTGTATGGAGCTGATATTGCACTGAATAAAATATGTCCCAGGTCATTTATGCTAAAGGGATATTTAATTTTATTTCTTTAGTGAAGAAGCAACCACTATTCATTCAAATTTAAAGGTAAATATTCTAACTGGGTGTTATTGACCAACTCAGCAAGACACGAACAGTAGTCTATGTCGTATCTAATAGCTTAAAATACCTGTGAATAGGCAAACAGAAAAGTTTCTCCATATTACATTAAATATTCTTTCTTAAATGAGTGCTGAATGAAGAACAAGAAATGATTGTCAGCTGATAGGAGATTAGAAGATTAGCTACATACTGCATGATTTTCTTAAAATCGTATTTTTCGTTGCCCGTACTCAGGAACTACAATTTTTTTCAAAATTCCAGAAAAAAAAATCGAAACGTGTTTAATGGTGTGGTGTGAAGTATGTTTATAATAATGCTTTTATGATAATGCCTCTGTGAACACAGTCCGATAAAGGGAAGGAAGCTGGTTGTTATTAATAATTCACAATTTTTGGTTTTGCAGGGAGAATCAGGCTAAACTCCGTTCATTCCCGACACTATTTTGCATCCACTTCACCTGCGGTTCCAAAGAAACGTTCAAGCTGACTTCTCAAAGAACCTTAGAAATCAACGAGCCATGGTGATCCCAAAATCATTCATCTCTCTGTATCCAATCCTGATTATCTTAGGTGAGGAAAACTTTCTAGTTATTTCGCGTGTTGAAGAACAGATGCCTGTGAAACTTTCACAAGTCATGATTGCCTGTCTACTTTTATTCCCCTCTGATGGGCACACGAAACTACGGTAATACTGAGTTACGTTTTTCTTTTTCTTGACCTCCAATCTACCGAAAAAAACTTTCTCAAAGGTGTAGCAAATCTCATTTTTTTTCACCAAGAAAATTTATCTTTCAATGTTATTCAGCGACGTTTATACGTAGCAAATAAGAAAACTGGATGAGCGCATCACCACAAGGATGCAAGCACATACAAATATTTTGATTGTGGTTTATATCGAAATGTTAAACTAAATGAAAATTTACTTTCCTTTTGTAGAATAATAAGGATTCCGTGTCTTTCGTGTGGTGTTGCCCGAAATTTCAAAAGAAAATTTAGACACGTTCTCGCCGCGATAGAAGTTTATTAGAAATTGTTTTGCAGCATTTAGTTCCCTTCGCTGATGTGTCAGGATATTATCGATTCCATCTTCGACACATTACTATAATCAAACAATAGCGACGTTGGAGGCGAATGACAGAAGCACGGAGTAAATGAAACAGTTTATCCTTATATATGAAGATGAAACCGGCAGCAGAGGAGTTTTGCGTAAATTAAAGGTGTTCGCAATCGTCTTTCAACGTGTATCTCAAATGATTTATCGATAAAATCAGTTCGACTACTGGATTTCTGAATTTTATTCTGCCAGACTTGTTACAGTATGAATAATTAATTTCTGGAGTGGATTGAAATTCAATTCAAAATATCCTTTCGTTGGTCGATCAAACAAAAGTTGAAATAGCGATTCGGCGTTACTTCTAGAATGTTTTGTAAACTTGATAGCATGAAGAAAAAGATAACGAATATATTTTGTTTTCCTAGTAATGAAATCAGTCTAATGCTTTGAGGAAGCTTAACAACATTTTTGCCCGCTTCGTCTGTGGGGGTTCTATTTTGGCTACAGTGGTTCTGCCGTTGTCAAAATCTTATCAGTTAACTTCCTTATCGCAAGAAAGCTCGCTTAATTTTTTTTATATATAAAAAGCCCCTGTAAGATTAAAGCAGTCCGAATATTGTTGCTTTAGTAATTTCATTTGCAGTTCCCACTGTTTTTATAGCGCATTTTCCTCGTTCCTTGGCCAAAATATTGGCGATCACACAAACTATGACAAGCTCTGTATTGCTTGAAATTTTGCTGAATAACTAACCGTCGTATAAGAGTCTTATACGAATCTTTCGTGCACCATTTGCGAATGCATCCAAAGTGAAATGATGTGTGATGTTAGATTTTATTCGGTTCCAAAATATGTTTCCCGTGCCTTCTTTCTCGTTTTCAGGTTCGATATGAATCGCGCTATCAAGAAACCGAACTGTAATTGAAACATAAAGGTGTTTAAATGATTCAACTGTTTATGATGTAAATGATAATTCTCGTGCAAGTTTCAAATTTTGAGACAAACAAAACTGCTGGAGGGAAGTCGCATAAGCACAACAATCCCTCGACCTTAAAGGCAAACAAAGCGGGAGTGCACTAATTTAAAAGTAGAGAAAGTTAACTGAAGATATATAATTCCCCGTAAATGCTCTACGGAATCGTTTTCCCTAAAATTATGATAATTTTTTTTCAAACTAGGAAAAGGATTGTCTGAGCAAGCTTTCAATGCCAGTGTGAACGAATCCCATCCCATTATCAGTGATGGTAAGTGATACCCACTCGTAAGCGATAATATCAATAGACTCTAGAAGATGACAACGAAAAGTGAGAGATACACGGCTAAGTGCACAGAAGGCTGGAGATCTGTGTAAGCTCTTTCTCCTCTCTTTGGGAAGCTGGCAGTTTTTACGACTATCTAATTTAGCGCAGCAATATCTTCAGAGTCGTGTGCTACAACCTTACTTGCTGTATAAGGTATCGTTGGCTGCTTGTTATTATTGCACTTAAGGTAAGAGAAACATTTTTTTTGTCGTTTGTTGATGTCAATTATTTCCCTTTCATTAATCAGAATTAGAAGAGGATGACGACGAAGCACGACTTGTGAAAGATCTATTCAAGGGCTACAACGAGACTGTCCGTCCAACAGAAGATAAGCAGTTGCCCATTGAAGTAAAATTTGGTATTGCGTACACACAGATTGTTGACCTGGTATGTTTTTTGAAGAATGATATTTTCAAAGCCCAAGCTCCTAGTTACATTGAAAGAGTGCGATGTAACTGCCGATCAAATTTGCCATCACGGAAGCATATGAGTTGAATTTGCTTGTTAGTGTTTCTCTAAGCTATACAATTTACCTTCTTTTACTTTTTGCGTCATATCCATTTTCTCTGAAAAAAGTGGACGAAGAGCCAACTTTTGGATGTGAAATCCAAGTTTTATTGTTCTTTCTTTTTATTTTTTTATACTAATTATAAGACAACTGAAGACAGTTATTTATTTTCGATAATAAAGTCGAAAACCACGATTTCTTTTGTTTTGTCAAAAACCCAACAGATCGAGAAAGATCAAGTGCTTGTAAGCAACATCTGGGTCAGAATGGTAAGTAACCACTCTTGCACTCTATACCAGACTGAAGAAATGAAAGCCGACTGAATAGCTTGTAAAACTACATCTTCCGTAGTTTTCCACTTTAGGTTACACTGGTGAATTTGGTTCTTTCCAAAGCTGTTGCTTCATTACTACCTTCATCATACTCTTTTACTTTCATCACTTAGGATCTTCTCTGTTACAGTGAATACCAAAATATGAAAGCGAAGTGAGGATCACCGTTTTTTTTTTCCCCGAGTATTCCAACAATTTTTTTTACATAAAGCACGTACTTGTAGCTGTTATATTAAAAAAAAAAGCTTGTATTACCCAAAAAAGTTCTTTGATCTATCGTAGACCTGTTGACCAGTTTTATAATCCTTGAATACATTTTAGTTCTAATTATGTTACTTTTAGCCGGGATCGAGGGCCACCAGTTCATCAGTTTCCATTAATTACTATTATGTGTTACCCTTCACAAAGAAAGTTGTTATTATTATATTATTAATATTATCATTATTTCTATATTATCATTATTAAACACCAGGCATGGAACAACCATCTTCTAAAATGGAACGCTTCTGAGTACGGAGGAATAAAAACAATTAACCTGAGTCCACATAAGGTCTGGCTTCCCGACATTGTCCTTCACAATAAGTAAGTCATAGTAAAATGATGAGATAAAAAAAGAAATGGTCGAGTTGAAAAAGCCATCAATCACTTTTTACTGGAGAGGATTTTCAAGTAACCTATAGAGGATCTTTATCTTTGTATATTTCCCAAGCGGAAAATTGCCACCGTTTTGCAGAACACTAGAAAAATGAGGGATTGTTTGCGTATTGCAAAGAATTAAGTCAAAAAGGTGAAATTTTTGTGACTTTTTAGAGATTGCCTTACTAGCTGCTTATACCTTATAGGTATATAACCTCAAATTGAATGCATTTTCACTCCAGACATGGCCAGTATCTACATGTTTTATGAATAGGTAGGACAGAATCCACGCAACGATTCTCTCTCAACCGAGAGTCTAGCCAAACATCATTAACAAAGACTTCCGGAGAAAAACATGCGAGTTCAATTAAAAACCTATCGGTTTTCATATGTTAGCGGCCATAAACTGCAACCAATAAAAAACATAATGGCTCACTTTAAGAAAATATTTTTCGTCAGTGCGGAGGAATTGCTTCCAAGTGGAACTCTATACCTCTTTAAAACCAAAGTGATCTTGACTTCAGACGGATCATGTACGTGGTACGCCCCAACTATACTTCGCAGTAGTTGCAACATCGACATCACTTACTTCCCGTTTGACGACCAGATTTGTGAGCTTAAATTCGGTTCCTGGACATACCACGGACTTGAAGTGAACATTGTTCAAATGCGAGATACAGCAGACCTTAATTTCTACATGAAGAGTTCCGAGTTTGAGCTTATCTCTGCCAAGGCTAAGAGAAACGTAGCCAAGTACAGGTAAATTTTTCACCAAACAATAGCCTCAAACTATTAATGGCTAATGTAGAACTTTTATTTTTGATAAATCGGGGTAGACCCCCTTCTGATTTCTCTTGTTGCAAGTAACAACCTTACTTGTAGAAAAGGAAATTACAATCTTTTATGCAAGACTTTATTCAGTCGACGTAACACTGGACGTGATAGAAAATTGGAAAGAGAGGGCAAGTTTCTACCATGGCTGGGGGTAAAACAAGATAAATTGGTTTCACAAACCTAGTATGTAAAAGTAAATTGGCCACCGTAAAGGGCATCTAAAAGCTGAAGTCATCTGACACTCGAAACGTCAGCTTAAAAAACTCTTTACTGTTGCCAATTTAATAACTTAAGTCGGTTCATAATACAATTTTATGATGATAAAATTGGTTTGGTCATCATAAGGGTTTTTCATGAAGGAAGTAGAGAAAGGCGAAACAAGAATTAACGATCCTGGTTGAATGGTAAATCTGTGATTCAAATTGGTTTCCAAATTTATAAGAAGTCCTCTGTATCTATATTCTATAGAGGCATGTTTCTATCCAGCTGTAATTCGCACAGGTAATATATCACAGCTCATATCGAACTCACGTCAAACTCGTAATAGTTGCATTAATAACATAAGACGGTACAAAAACGAATCACGATAACCTAAACTGATATTATATACAGAAACCAACAATCGGGTAGTGATCTCCAATAATAACAGCGGCATACGATGTATTTCGGCCTCTGGGACTTTGGAATTTCCTTTTTAGTGATACATTAAAATTATTTTAAGTTTGCAAAATATTTCTTTCCGAATCTCATAGACCGCATTTTTTTGAAAATAATATGAAATCAATTTTTTCCTTTGTTAAAACGAGCTTGAAGAATGCATAAAACAGGGTTTTTGACTTGTGAGACCTTACTTGCACTTCTTGCACTCATTAGAGCTGGCAGGTAAATTAGTCTATGTTGCTGGTCAAATTTTAAATGAATAAGTCTTGAATTTATATGAACGATGCAAGTCGTATAACAAAGCATGCAAGTCCACCGAGCACGTTGCACATGGCATCAAGATCCTACTGTAATATTGTGTTCTATTACACGCAGCTGCTGCCCGGAGCCTTATCCAGATGTGACATTCTTCCTTCATCTTCGTCGTAAGCCTGGATTTTTCCTCTACAATATCATCATTCCCTGCTTGGTGATAACCTCACTAGCTGTGCTGACATTTGTCCTCCCACCAGAGATCGGCGAGCGAGTGACTCTGGTAATTGAATCTTTCTTAGCTCTGTCATTCGTCGTTCTAATGGTTTCGGATAGCGTTCCTGTTACCTCCGACAACGCTCCTCTCATCACAAAGTTTCTGATTATTTCCATGTGCCAGATAGGGGGTGCTCTGATCGCAAACTGCATTTCACTGAACCTCTACAAAAAGTACCGGATGCCCCAATGGGTGAGAGTGGTTTTTCTCCACTACTTAGCCCGATGTTTGTGCATTAATTCGGGCCAACCGAAGGACAAAATTGAAAAACGTTCACATCTTGTGAAAGGTCGACCAGCGGAACTGACGGTTCTTGAGGACAGAAAACTCTCGGGAACAAAACCCCTGGGATCACCGGGTGGACACTCCTTAAAATCTCCGACTCATCATCACACAGCTCTCTTTCGATCAGCCCAGGACCTTCATTCAAAGGTTACAGATGGACTCGCGGAGCTTGCACAGTCTGAAATCAACCATGAAGAACACCGTGCCAATCGTCAATTCTGGATTTTCGTGTCACGAGTTGTAGACCGCGTTTTCCTGCTAATATTTTCCATAGCGTTCGTCTGTTCTTCGTGTGCAATATTTGCTCAAGTGCCAGATCATTATAATTTACTCTTGTAGGATCGTAGCTAACCGCGATTGTGGTTTCCAGTAAGAGGACTAAGCAAGAAACTTATATTATAGGGTCAGAACTGAGTCATTAATCTTTGATTTCTGTGAAATTGAGAGTTTCTCTGAACGACGGACAATGCAAAGTGTCATCGATTATGACTTACGAGTTTACGTTTTGCGTAGTAAGATAATTGATATGAATCTTGGAAATTGGCCTCAGAGTAATAAACAAAAAAAAGAAATATGTAACCTTACACGATTAAGGGCTTTCCTACCTAGGAGAAACAAGATTGTATGATTGTTCGTCGTTTTCTAATGCGAAACAATTATGAATAATGGAGTCTTTCAATCGAAAATAGAAGAATGTTATTTTTAAATCTCTGATTGAACACATAATCTTTTCGTTGTTTGGCTAGAGCCGCTTCATCTTGTGATACAGTAAGTTGCATTTACCCCTGAAACATCATGCATTACTGTAGGATTTGTATGAACCGAATGTTTTATAGGGCAGAGGACCATTAAAAATGGTCAGAAACAGTTTCACTAGTTCATCAGCTCCCACTTCCTTGAATCTCGAAATAATTTGCTCTTTGATTCTTCTGCTGAGTGTTGTAGGATGTCAATTTTTCAAAAACAACCGTCAACATGGATGAATAGAATAATTTTTTTAGTTATGCCTAAAACAATGAAAATAAAGGAACATTCATCGACAGGAGTGTTTCAACTTTTATATTATTTTTTATCAAAACAAATTTCAGATTTATGAGAAAACTTTCTACCTTTGCATTATTTTTATCATCATCTCAGCGTGGAGTCATAGGAAAGTATTTTCCCCCTCCCCAAGGATACTATCGCGGAAATTTGAAAACAACTCCTTAATTCTTCAATATAAACATTAAATTCTGCCAGTTGCATTGTAGAAAAAAAAGCCAACACTATAAAATTTTAAACCTGAACTTGGGACAATACTTATCTACCGCGGTGTTGACATTTTCCACGTTTTACATTCTAAGATTTTGATAAACCATTTATATTCGCACGAAATCGTGGACTTTCAGATACTTTTTGTCGCCTTAAAAAAATGCTCACATCAGTACAGTTGCAACTACTATATTACTGTGAGATCTACATAGGATATTGGCACCCTCCAGCTCAATTATTTCCAAAGGCTTCAATTATTGATATTACGTTCAAGAAATGATGATGGAAACAAATGTTATTTTTCGTAGATTTTTTTTTATCCTCATTTGTTTCGTCTTGTTTCAGTTCTTACTATTTCCCTTATCACGATTTCTCCTTTCTCAAATTATCGACAGCAAACGCCGAGAAACCCGACCCAAACATGATAAAATGTACGCCACCTACGCAGCGAAAAAACAGCTTCGCCAGAATGAACTTTATCCACAAGTACTCGAGTAAGGCAATTAACAACAGCGAAACCCACTTTGAACTAAGGAACCCGTGTAGCTTGACAAACACAAACACAGACACTAGGAATAAGTATGAGGTATTCAGGATAAAGTTCTTTGGCAAGAAAGGTTTCAAAGAGTTTCGAGTATTGTTTTTCGGGAATTTGGTTATAATCAAAAGCGTAGGGAATTTCAAAACGGATTGTTATGAGCCGTTTGCTTTTATCTATTGTTAACTATCGCATAATTAATTAATACAGTCAGAAAAATATTTTAAATTCTCCTTGGGTTTTGCGAGCCTCGGAAAGTCTTGTAGAATCTCTGGCAATCAAGGTTCGCCCAAAAATCTCTGGAATTAACTCGGTGACAACGTCAAAGTACATAAGTCTTTTCTTAGCAACTCATGTAGCTCTTCCCCTCTAACTGAAAAACTTATATGTGTACTGTTTAGAATAGATTTTTCATTTTTTTCTCCTCTTTTAAGTAGAAAAATAAGTGAAACTTCTTAAAAAGAACTACAGTGAGAGAAATACGAAGGGAATAGGTTACGGGTCGAAATTTCTGCCGAGAGGTTTTACTCTACTCGTCCTTGTAAGTAAAACGTCTCTTCATCTATTGGGATTTCTGAGGCAACCTCAACAACAATGTTGCATTTGCTTAGAACATAACTTTCCTAAGAAATTAAGCCACTGGACCGAAGATTTGTCCTTGTACCATGAATTGAATAAGAGACAACCCAAAAAAGAACTGGACCTACCGTTTAAAGTGACTGGATAATCGAAACATGCCACAGAGACTGATGAACATGGAAAGCGAAGTCCACACCAAGACACGTGACCATCTAGAACAACTACTAGCCACGGGTACACTCACGGAAAACAGACACACGGCTCTCAAGGTACATGACTTTCCAAATGATATACCAGCAACAGAAAGGTACGTTGACAGTTTCGGTTGACAAATACTAAGTTTCTGGCATGGCTGTGTATTCTGCCGAGACGGTAAACAAAACTGAGTTGCGACTGATATTTAGGTTGTTTGGTTTAAATTAAACAAACAAATTGCAATTGGCGCAAATTTCTTGAGAATAAAAAAATTGAAGTACAGCTCACTAGTGAAAAATTGGCAACATTCACACGCCATCAGCGGGCAGTAGAGACATTACAGGAATTGCCAGCATTCGTGCGTTAACAGTTAACAAACCACAACTGTTTAAACATCCAATCATGCATTGATCTGAAAGTTGGGTGTCTCTTGTGCTTGTCTATTATGTGTTTAAGGTTTTTTTTTTAGATTGAAAACATAATACTTTGACTTAGAAAAGGATGAATATAGCAGTCATGAATCAAGATGAATTTTTTTAGCTGATACCAATTGTTTGAAGAGGTCGATTTCTGCAACAAACAATTTTCTTTTCAAACAGTAACTGTGTGTGATTCGATTTCCTTTGAGGTGTTTCCTCATGTGTTTGTACCTAAGAACTTTCTACTTTCTTTTTGCAGCTGCTGCCCAGAACCATATCCTGACATAACCTTCTACGTCCATATGCGCCGTATACCTGGCTTCTTCCTCTTCAATATCATCATTCCTTGTATGGTGGTCACTTCCTTCTCAGTCCTGACCTTTGCATTTCCACCGGAATCCGGCGAACGAGTGACTCTTGTCATAGAGTCATTCTTAGCCATGTCTGTGGTTATCCTTAATGTCTCAGATAGCATTCCAGTAACATCAGATGCTACGCCTATCATTGTTAAAATATTGCTGGCTGCAATGTTTCAGATTGGTGGCACCTTGGTTGCCAACTGCATATCCTTGAATAGTTACAAGAAGACGGAGATGCCGCAGTGGGTTCGAGTGTTCTTTCTTCATTATCTGGCGAGAATGCTGTGCATCAACACCGGACATCCAAAAGCTAACGTCAGGTCCACAAGACGAGTGGATGTTAAGGTATTGAGGTTATTATATTATCTTCCTGAGGGCTGTTAATTGTCCTCAACTGATGACATCTGCACGGGGAAAATAAAGCCAAAGAAAGACGCCGCTGACAGTATAATTTCCTCCGAAATACAGCTCATCCTACCTGTTGAGCTAGTAATTTCAACTTCCAATCTCATGATTAAAAAGTATGAATACATATGGTTTTTTTGGTCTTAAATTGAAGGTTAGCTTATACACATACACTGGTTCGTGTGCAATATAAGTATACATTGGTTCACTTGCTGAGCAGTAACTGATACAAATTTCACTATGGTGAAGCTCAGCCATAGAGGGTGTATCAATAAAGTCTTTTAAAGACTCCATTTAATAGTAAACTTTCCGCTGAAACCAGAAACGACTAAACAATGTAGCAGAAAACTTTGACGTTTGGTGATCATAATTCCAGTAACTGATTTCAATTATTCCCTTTTCCCTTTCTTAATTTCATTTCAAGGTGGAGGAATTTGAAAGCAATTGCATCAAGCTGGTGGGAGCAAAAACATTTAAACCGGTAAACTTGTCACCGAGCAAGCTGCCTGCTACAATCGCCAAGCCCCCAAGCACCTTGACAAAAATCACGGAGGGAATTAGTGAGCTCGCGAGGAGATCTAAGAAAGAGGAAGACGCTGAACTGGACAGAGAGTTCTGGATCTTTGTATCTAAGATTGCTGATCGACTCTTTTTAATAATTTTCTCTATGGTTCTGCTTTCCTCGACCGGTGCCATTCTAGCGCAAATACCAATATACGCAAATTCCCCATTTCAATAATGTGAAATTGGGTCAGAAAAAGGTTTATGTAAACAAGACTCGGAATTAGGTTAATCAAACATCGCCCCATAGTGCAATTGTCTTATCCATGCGCTCATCTTAGGATAGTGATCTTTTGTGGATTTTTAGTATGAGTCCACATAACTGGCGTTTAAAAGGAAACTATAGGAAGTAAATTAATTAACTTTTGAGTTTCCCTTTATCCTCTATCGAAAGCGACCTGTATCATCAATGGTCAGATCAATTGATCAACTTAGTGAATCTTTAGCTAAACAAACATTAATTCTGAATTACACTTGTTGATTTTAGGTAGACAGTAGTTAATTACAAATTAACATATTAAGAAACCCCATTTTCGGTGAATAGCGGTTTCTAAAGTTTCCTATGGTTGAAAATGACGATAGCGACTGATGGGCAAACTAATATATTTAAAACAGTTAAAGTGGTAAAAATACTCAGCACTCAATGAATAAATTCAATCAATATCCCGCCAGTTATGATTGAGTGAACTGGTAACCTAGAATGCAGTTTACTTTGCTTTCAACAGGTGGTAAGCGCGGGTTTGCTTTAAAATATCAAACTGCATACAGCTAAAAAATTTCCCTTAATTGCTTTTATAAATTCCAGCCATTCATTTCCCAGTATATTGTACTAACAATGAATATCTCAGAAGTGTAATCTTTATTAAGCTGTGAAGTTTTGAAAATAGATACGTCGATGATTAAAGGGGGAAAGTTTCTAGAGAAACTGTGGTGCTTCGTTAGTGGAGGAGTATGACAAGAAAATTTGGTTTCATCAACTGAGCTGATCAGCAAAGAATTTCTAAGCTAGCGTTCGAGCGTCAGCCCTACTTTATTCGCTCTGACTAAAGGCTTACACATGAATGATTGACCAGTAATCGCTTATTTTTTTTTCATATGAAAGAAAAACTTGTTTTTTCTTCATACATGAAAAATAAATTTCGTTTCGAAAAATTTTCCGACGGTTGACATTTCCATGGACACGAAAAAGGTCTCTGAGCAAAGGCTGAACGAGTAACTCAGGTTATGCAAATCTGAGTGATGTAAAAGCTAATAAATAAAATCAAACATCACTTTAATTTGTGTGCATTAAATGATGGAAGGTATGATGATGTCTGTGAAAATAATTGCATATGAGTGGCTCTGATGCTATGAATAATTTACTAATGGCCCATTCTTTTTATATATTTCAATCAGAGAGCCCCCCTTATTAATGTCCTTGTACCATGGGCGGTCGTATGGATTTGTAGGATTTAGTAGGAGAAGATATTGTATCCTCAATTCAGTCACTGAATTCTTAGTTAAGTTGTATCATAATTGAAATCTACGGGTCAACGATCCTATATAAAGGAAAGACTCGTAACATGCCTGTTAGGAGGAAAGAGTAAAATCGAGTACGTGTATCGATAAGAGCTTATGACCTCTAGATCTTCCATTTGTGAATCCTAAGAAAGTTACATTAATGATTCACAATAAAGCATTTCTTCTGGATCCGAGGGATAGTGATGTTATTTTGTTGAAATTCTCCTTCGATGGAAAAAAAATGACTAAAGAAATATTTGGATTTAGATAGATGAATCAGTGCGGAGTTATTGCTTCACGATGCTTCTCAGTTGTCGTGTCCACTTGGATGTCCGGTGTTCACTTTCAGTTACTCCATGTACGGGTGGCAACTTTGTTTTGGTTCGTGATTTCCAACAAAGTTCAACCCGCTAAAAGCACTTCCCCGTCTGGTGGCACGGCTGGGTGTTACAAGGGTCACAGACAAACTAGTTACCTTGTTCCTCATCATCTGTTCTTCAGCCCCCGCATCTATTACTTCGCAGAACGACTGCAGAGCTTTGTTTTTCAAATCGACTGTATTAATTTTGTATAATCTTTTATTGAAGTCCCGAGGCTTACTAAACCCGACATGTTGTTCTTGTTATGGAGTTTCTTTATTACTTATTGGGTTTCAACCACAGCAGGTAAGCTCAATGTTTATTCTATATCCATACCCCATGTAATTCTATACATCGGATACAAAGCTTTTCAATGCACTTATACCAGACAACTGAACTGAATCATACCAACATCCAAATTCATGGATCAGTACAGAAAATTCAATCTAAATTTGCTGAAACCACAGACGAAATTTGAAGTATGTACTTGATTATGTTTCCTGCTCTGATGGATTGGGGAGCAATGAATCATTCTATATATTTAAAAATGAACGTTAGGTGTGATTTGTAAACATTAGTATTTTAACCTTCAATGTAATACAGATCACATGAACACATTTAATTTCGCTTTTTATCGTCGTGTATCCACCTGTTATCTACTTCATTAACTTCAAAGAAGTCCGAGAAATAAATAAAAAAAAAACCAATAGTTGTCGAATAAAATACGCATGGCAATTGCGGGGATACTAAAAATGAAGAAAACGGAACAAAGTTTTTCGAGGATTTTTAAAGCATAAAATAGTTTGTGCTTTGTTGAAGTGTTTTAGAGGAAGTACGAAGTTGTCAAAACGAAGACGATGAGAACGAGAGTAGAGAATTTTTTTTCCATATCGCTCTTAGGTCTAAAGACCTTAGCCAGACATAAAATTTTGACGACGACGACATTTTGTGGTTCATCAATTTCATTATTTCTTTTTAGATTTAGTCCGAAAAAGAGTTGCGCCTCAACCCCTTCTTGGTAAAAGAGATGACAGAATGCAGACTATCAGTACGGCTCCAAGTAAGAATCAGTTTAGTTTTACTTATTCATTCTGATTGATATTTATGTCAGGGGGAGAGTGTGAAAGAGTTCATCAACTTTTTTCGTTCACATAATGGAAAAGAAACGACATGTTTTTGTTTAGAAAAAATGGTGCAAAGACTGAATGACTTACAAATGAAAAACCACTAAGCAAAACAAATGCGCACTTTTGGCAAATTCACGCACGTTGGCGCGACATCGTGTCGTTCCATTGTCATTTCAACATAAAGCGTGCATGATCTTAGTAACTATATGTGTCTGTTTCAGTTACCATCCATGTCCCGGCACTTTTGAAAGGTCAGGACGCCCGAGTTCCTGCTCCAGCCGCCATAGCTTCAGAGGCGCCCGAGGGCACATATTTGCTTCCTGTAACTGAACAGAATAAAGAACAACACCCAGCGATAAATTTACTGCTCAATCTTAAGCTTGTCATGGATGGAGGTATCGTTCCTGTCTAGCCTGCTTTCCTGTAACTTACATCTGAAGAATTTCAGCCGAACATAATTCTCTCGATCAGTCAAAAAGAACCAAAATACTCTCGTAGCCTTCTAATTCCAAAAAAAAAAAAAAAAAAAAAAAAAAAAACCAGATTTTTTCACATATGTACATCACAAGTATTGTAACTGTGACTGGGCAATAAACGAAGCAATTCTACCGAGATTGACAACCAAGATGGAACCATCTAACAATGAATATGAGACAATACTCATTTCGAAGTCAATGAATTTCAATAATCCAACGCTGTAACACTTGCAGGCAAACAGTTTTTTTCCCCGGCAATAAAGACCAACGATTAAATGCTTTCGCAGTGGGACTCCAACAATGCAAGACTATTTTCGTTTTTGGGTCCAGAGCCAAATTTTTAGAGAAAGTAGAAGATCTGCACCAAGTAGAACTGTTGTAGCACGAGAACGATGATTGACTTGCTCAATCAGTGTGGCATAGCCGGGCCTGGGGCTCGTTTCTCGAAGGTCCCGGTAATTTAACTGGCCCGTAAAGCTGTTCTGTTTTCATTCAAGATGCAGGTTTTGAAAATTATGCAATAAACTGTTGGCTAAAGGAACAAACTGTATTTGTTAGAGTGACAGAACCGGTTTCTCTATGCTTTAAATTTTGATTTTAAAATTTGGCTTCGGACCCGTAAACTTACCGGGACTTCGAGAAACGGGTCCAGGAGACAAAGCAGAAATATAATGTTAAGCAATTTAATGTTCAACAGCCACACGTGTGGATGTTTGGACAAAAGGAAAAGGATAATCTGAATTTTGGTCGCAATTGTCGTCTTTCCCAGAGAAAAAGCCCGATCAATCAGAAGCCATGAAAGTGAATTCCGGTGAGTACGTGGCTCATGAAGTCAAACTCGTGCCAAATGTCAATCTCGATCCAGCCACTACTCCAGCTTCATCTGCCGGAATTCAGGAAGGAATGGTTCAAGGGAACATTCCTTCTGCGGTAAGCTCACAGAGGACCAGTTCAAACGGGATCCAACAACCTGCTAGGAACTATGGTGTCGTCCCTTCCTTTCTCATTGTCCCAAAGAGGCGCGTGTTACACAACGTACGATCTAACCTGAAGACTAACGTACCAGGTAGGTTGACACTCAGCGGAAATAAATACAGAATGTTAACTGGCTATTTTCAGGGCTTATTCCGGTTGCCTTAGCACGTACCCACGGTGTTATCGTTCCTACTGGATGGGTGGGTAATCCACTGCAGGAGGGTCTCGGTGGAGTGATGGCTTTTACGACTAACGGTCAAAATTTTGGTAATTGAACGGCTAAAGGTTAATTTCTTTCCGTTGGGGTTACTGGAAAGATTTTTAAGGTTATATTTCTTTAAGAAGAATAGTACGCCCAACGGTTTTTTTAATTATACGTTTTTACTACTAACGGTACCCTACTGAGATCCTCTTGCAGGTTACCTTCCCCTCTCCCTCTCGTGACTAAATGCTTCCCTGGATACGTAGATGTGTCGCAACACACAAATGCACAATCATATGCTGGATTATGTTCTTAGATTAAACCTGTTTCCCTGTTTCTAACAGGGACACCAATGGCCAGGTTCAGACAACAATTCCTTTATGAACACAATAAAAAGCGCCTGCTCAATGGAGTGCCACCGCTGACTGAAGACGAGAGGCTTAATACGGAAGCTCAGAATTTTGCATCGGAATTGGCAAAGCAGAGGAACACAACGCATTCTCTTTTGAAAAACAGGGTAGGACAAGGAGAGAACATCGCCCTTCGTTGCTCGTTTAAAGGTTAGAATCCTCCCCTTACAGCCGTTATCTAGGCGACCTTTACAGGTATGAGTTTGGGATAAAATTAATTTTTACATTTTTTTTAACTTTTTGTCCAGTGAGACTAGCTATGATAATGTTTGAATACGGCTTTTCCTCAAATTGATCAAAGGAATGTGTTCAAACGATACTTTTACGGTATTTTGACGAATTTGACCAAATTCCACGTCCAGGCAGCGATGTGAATTGTAGCATTGGTGGCTTCGCATAACCCCTCTCCTCTACTGTTCATGCAGGCTCACCTTTGACAGGAGCTCGAGCGACTAATCTTTGGTATGCTGAAAGTAAGAAGTTTGATTGGAAAAAGAAACCAGCAACCCCAGCGATACAACGATTGACTCCAATGGTTTGGAACAATACCACAAAAGTCGGTTTTGGTAGAGCACAGTTCATCGATGATAGTGAGTGATCAATTCTATTATTCTTTCTCAACGTTACATGCTCCTTCAACCGTGAAAAGTGGGGGGGGGGGGGGGGGGAGGGGAGACATTAGGAGAAATTTCGTGGGATGATAACAAATAGGGTAACTTATGTTTAATACTAGTGTCTACGTGCTTTGCTGAAGTACTTGTAAATCTGCAGAGGCTTGAAACTAAAACATTATTTTTTATATCACCATCAGGAGGAAGAATCTGCTTCGTAGTTGTTGCTCGCTATGAGCCTTCGGTAAACGTTGGCGAAACGTTGTTGGACAACAAGCTGGAGCCGATCAAAGTGAAATCAAAACAAAACACTGGCATTTAATTATTAACACCACTACTAAATGAGGGAAAAATTGGTGACAAAACCAAAATAAAACTAATCTTGAACCATAAAAAGACTTCATCCTTGTAAACTTTTTTACCAGTTAAGATTCTTCAAGTCCTGAATACTTTTTTACAATTAAAATCAAATTATGTGAGCTACACTTGTGATCCATATTAATTTGGAGTGAAGACATGCTAGAAATATAGTTTACAAATCATTTGGGTGCTTGCATTACTTTATTCTAATGAAAGCTCATTACTGATTTTTTTTTGTTTGAATTTCAAAACTTTCCATATTTCGGTCTTGGAAAAAAAGGAAAAAAAAGAAGGCTCTTTCAAGACCGTCCCGTGGCGATACTTTCAAGAAATGGCCCCTTTGTGATTTTTTTTCTGTGAGACGCTCTTCGTTACCATGACAACTGAACATGCTGAAATGAACTAAACAAACGAATTGCATTTTATCCTTTTCGCTTATGATAAGAACCAACAAATTTTCAGTGACCCTAATCTCTTCCACCTGAGTTCTTGTCTAAAAAAATCCTGGGTTTGTAGGTATTCATATAGTATTCAGATCGAAATTGACCATAAATTCGAATTGTTCATAACGAATTACAAATCTAATAAAGATTACATAAGCAAAAATATACATAAAATGAAGCTTGAATTTTATAATATAGCTTGTTAACACGTTGAATAATAATTCTCTATCCTTAGTTATCAAATCACTTCGATCAGGATGCATTTTTGACTAAAAATTTTTCCGTGGTTCAGTTTCATGTAAATTCATCAAGTCTCTGGCTTTATAACAACTAAACATGAATATGTTGTTCGTCTTCTCTAATGCCGCTTTTAGATTCATTTATCCTCGAGTATTGTTACGTACATTTTTTTGACGATGAGAGGTATTTGCGATATTTCATCTTTGAATATATTGATATAAGCTTGTTTCAATAATCCTGTTGCCAATGACATGGTTTGTATTTTGATATTTGTGGAAACTTTATTTGTTTTTGAACGCCTGAGTTTGAGTTTTATTTGGACGGCAACATTAACAACCTCCTTCGTTTAGGATCTGCAAGAAAATGACGGATCCGTGGAAAATTACAGCCGGATCTTAAACTACAACGTTTGGCATCGGTTGAAAACAAAATATTGTGATATTTCTTTGTTAATACCCACTACGTCTCGAAGACTTCGAAGCGACAATTTGATCTGATAGATTTAACACCAATTTCCCCTGATAGATAAGAATGTCTTAATTAACTTTTCGGCTTCACTCAAATGTTAAAATTATATGAATTGGAGGAAAAGTGCGCATCAAGGCAAAAAGCCCTAAGTAACTTTAATAGTTATTATCCGGATCTGCGCTTAACTGTAAATGGCATTGTCAACTGAGAAGCTTCTTTATCCAAACCCTTCTATCATCATTGAGCAGTAGAGCTTTAGGATATCCACTTTCATTTTAAATTAATTCTTGAAGAATCTTTGCATTGTCTTCTCTGACATGTATTTTTCCAGCAGCTAGTTGGTTAAGAAAATAGTTGCTTATAAATTGTTTGGAACTGGTGGTCAATTAGATTTAACGACTTTTTTTGAAGTGATGCACCCTATGAACGAAGGCAAGTCTAGAGTAGATTTAGAGTAGATTTTCATCTGCTGTTGCTCAATGACACTTCCAGTTTTAACAAAGGAGCAGGTTGTAACAACGTTTTCGAACCCATCGTTCTTCTCTTTTTATTCGAGGAAAATATAGCTCAATGCCCCACCTGCCGTTATATATTCAAATCATATTTTACTGTTTAATCTCACCATATTTAATTTTCGCCTGAGTGTCAAAAACGTCCGTCAAGCTATGGGCGGAAAACAAACGCTTCCCTCAAATTAATTTCTTTCTGCTTTTGCTTTGTAATAAATCAATATAAAAATTCACCAGAATGTTTGATGAATTAGCTACGGATGCAAATAAAAATTGATTTTTTGCGTAGGAAAATTGCAATCGCAAATGACATTTTTTAGTTTTAATTTATCCTTGGGGCTTGCAGGTGTCGTTTGTAGTATTACGGAGATTACCGACAGAATGAAGAGAAAACGAGCTGTGTTTTTGATTTGCGCATTCAGGCAGTTTTAGCTACGTCTGGTAAATCGAAAACGGTAAATCAAACGCGAATGAGTCTTTTTAGAATGGGAGTCCTCGAACGAACGAAGAATTTTAATCGTCATTTCGGCGGCTAAAGACACACGTTCATTGCAAAGTACACAGAAATTGTATACTTATCAATCAAGTCTAGGAAGGAAGACAGGCTTTTTAAACTCTTATCGCTATTGAAAGAAAGATTCCTTCTTTTCAATATTACCCTGTAAAAAAGGTTGAAACAACGCCATTTTTAAGGTGATCAACGTAGGATACACGACGGAACGCTTCCAGAGCTTTCAAGAAATTTATAGTAGGCGTCTAAACGAATCAGCAGCTGTTTTGGCCATACATTTGCGTTTATTACAAGAACCAGAGCACATAAATTTGTATGAATTGATAAATATTTCTCCAAAGAATAGTTCGGACGGCAACAGTTACATTACTTGTGAAGGTAATCTAAAGCCACCATGATGAACTCTACAACCAGCAACTCGACTGCAGGAGAAGCGGAGACTGTGAAAGTGCTCAAAGCATTATGTTACTGTGTAATCATGCTCATGTCGCTGGTAGGAAACACTTTGGTTATCATAATTATCTTCCGAAACACCAGAATGCGGACCACCACTAACAACTTGATCGCCAACATGGCCATCAGCGATTTGCTGTTTCCGCTATTTGCTGTTCCGAAGGAGATAGCGCAGATCGTGATCGGCAAATCGCGATGGCTTGTCGTTGGCATCGGAGGAGAAATATTATGCAAGTTTGTGAATTTTTCACAAGACATCTCAACAGCCGTTTCGATACTTAGCCTGGTTGTTATAGCCTTCGATCGATTCCACGCGGTGAAATTTCCCTTCCAACCTGCTGTAATAACGCCTAAAATTTGCCGCATAGTAATTTGTCTCATCTGGGTTGTTGCCGTAGGCCTCCACTCGACGTACTTTTACACTTTCAAACTGATAGTGGTAGGGAACGATACATATTGCAAGAACGAATGGGAGCCGGCCTTTGAAACTGCCTCCACTCAAAAAGTTTACTTTTTGATCATTTTCTTGGTGCTGATATTTTTTCCTATCGCGGTGATTACTATATTGTACACAGCCATTGCAATTGAAGTTTGGAAGCAAAAAGGACCCACTGAACACTCCTGTCGGGAGCGACAAAGGCGTGAACAAGAAAACAGAAGAGTGTTAAAACAAGTTGTGACGGTGGTCGTTGTGTTCGTTTCTTGCATCACGCCTGTCACAATATTTAGCTGCCTTCTCCTCTTCGTCTGGAACATAAAAAAAATACCGCCTGGAATAGATGAAGTCAACTTTCATTTCTGTGCATTATTTATTATGCATTCTAACGCGGCTATCAGCCCTTGTATATATTTCATCTTCAACAAAAACTATCGGAAGGGACTCAGCGAAATATACGAAAGCTGCGCACGAATTTTTACCGGCCTTGAGAATCAATCACTGGAAGCGACTGGTTCTACTAAGCCGAAATACAATTCTAAGGTTGAGCGCGTTGCAAAGATAAGGTCGCCCAAATGCCAATACATTTAACCGAAAAATTTAACAGACGTTTTTTGAGATGAGAATGAGGGTATTGAAAGTGGCTACATGTGGATTTAAAACTGGGGTTTGCTAAGTCCATTTTTAGCAGTCCATCCATTGTAAGCTAACTAAATAGCTTCTTAAAGACCATAACCGTTTGCATTCCATAGTGTCTATTTAATCATTTACTGAAAAAGGCCCATTAACTCAAATTCATGGCAACCCTTACATCGCGAAGACCTGAAACGCTTATTTGCCCTTGCATATAATTGAACTTGGTTCACCCACAAAAAAAAAAAAAAAAAAAACCACTTAGTGTTCCTGCTTTAATCTGACCTTTTGAAAAAATGCTATGGATACTTTTTTGAATACGAGGAATAATTCTTTTGAGCACATTCACGATTCTAAGATTTATATATAGCTGTTTTAAGCAACCTATAAAATAAACCGCGCTTTAATCTCCTCAGCACTTGTTCAAGTCAAGTACAGTAATTTATTCATGTCAACTAAATTTTTTTTCATTATGAGACTGCAATTTTACTTCAATTTAATAATAACCGCATGCCGCCGTTCATCAGCCGTGATAAACTCATCTCTTTTTGATGAACTATACAGTTACGGCACAAGACTGATGTTGACCAAGAAGAAGGATATTAATAGAAAATACTAATTTACCAAGGACATATTGTAATAAAAATTTCTGGATAACTGCAATGTATGCAGAGGTGCAGGTGTAATTTGATCCGGTGCAAACTCACTTGGCGGCTTCCTCGTGGAAATAGTAGTGATGAAGGGACGAGGGGAAAGGGGAAAATATTAGGGGGGAAGGGTGGGGAGGATGGTTAACGTGGTACAACGAGGTCGAGAGAGAACCCTAAACTGGACCCCATCAGTCAGATTTGGCGTTTCGATATATATACATAATTTTAAATTTAGAAATCTAAAGCCTTATAAATGTGCTTTATATCTTCGTGTTTGTATTTCGCATGAAATTGTAATGTGTTTTATTTAGTTTATACTCAGGGCTCCCATTGATAGCAGGTGGCTCTTTAGGGCTTCTGACGGGGCTACCCTGAGGTTTATTCTTATTTTTAAATAAAGGCATCCATCCATTCAACCGGATTGTTTAGTCATGCGCATGCTCTTTGGGTCACCCAAAACCAAAGACAGCTGGGTAAATAGTTTAAGAGAGATGATGGATTTCAAGTTGCGCTCGTTTATCGAACGAAGAAAGCTATCATTTGAGCTCGAAACAAAATCAAAATGAGTCCCTGAGCAAAATTTAAATCTTGGACCCCATCAGTCAGATTTGGCGTTTCGATGCTTTACCATTGCAGTGGCAAATGGAGAGACTGAACTCCCTAATGCGCTAAACCAGACATACTAACTGGTGTCATATGTGACAGGCTTTCAGTATGCTGCAAACTAAACAAAACCGAAGAGTGTGAGCGAAAATTGGGCCAAAGGGAGCTCTATTTAACCACTTGGTGAATTCCAACGAGCACCGAGTAGTAGTGATGACGCATAAGAAATTATATAAGGCAAGTTTCACTTTTTTTTTTTCCGTGGAGGGTCACAAATAACCACAACTTCCTCTCAGAACGTACATAATATAAGTAATATTTAGCATTCACATATTTTCTTTTTACTGCTTCGAGCTTTTCTTCTTCAGATTTTTGCATTCCATTCAATGCTCATAGAGGTTCGCGTCATGGTAGAAAAATAATGTGGTATTCCCCAGTTTCCGCATTCAAGCATTTCGAGAAAACTGCACGCAATCGCTTCTGAACTATCGCATTGATTAAAGGATAATAAATAATCACCAAAGTTGTATTAAAATATTCTTGATAGATATTTGTTTAAACTAAAAGCTTTTTCTGTGGTAGACTTGATAATATGCCGTCTATGGCCTTCTAAACTCTATATTTACCTCCGCACTTAAAAAGTAATTGAAGTTTTTTAGGCGAGGACGCCAACACTAATTGCAGCTATTTGTTGTACGCTTATTAATATTTTTTGAAAGGTCAATAATGAACACTGTATGTGTTATGTTTATTTTCCTTTTAAAAGCCACTTCTTAGAGAAACGTTTAAGAAGCCAATACTGCGCTTGATCAGTAACGCTTTGGTCCTAAGTGATTGAATTTATGTTGCATTTATAGATTTTTTTTTCTAAAAGTCAAATGAAGTCTAATGAACAATTAAAAATATGCATTAATGAGACCGCCATTCATGACCTTTTAAACGTATGATTTGCAGTATTCAGTGCTCATCTTTGGTGGTCTTCTTGTCTTCAACGAATAAAGTGGGTAAACCTCTAAGTGTTTTTCTTGATCCCAACTCATTTTGTCGTTGCATGACGACCTATTCCTCGAGTCCACGAGTTCGTTCCATCGAAATAGTACCCGACGAGACATGATTAGCAAATCTTTCGTGCCAGACCGAAAGTCTTGGTTAAATATGATATAGATGCAAGGATTTAACGCGCTTATTGCATGGGGAAAGAATAATGAAACATAATAAATGTCTCTTGGCAAGCCGCAATCACGAAATTCCTCGTTATCATCAATAAGGAAGTAGGCTACGTGATCTGGGAGCCAACAAAATGCGAAGCAAACCAAAATGGTGATAAAAATTTTCAATGATTTACGTCTGCTTCTAGAAAGCAGCCGTTTTGTCTTGGATGAGTGATTTCCAACAATTTTTCTCTTCCAAATTTTGTGAATGACGCAACCATACAACACAGATGCAATGGCCAGCGGTAGAATGTAGAAGAGCACAAATAGAATTACGGTATAATATTTTGGAGACTCCAAGGAATCAAACGGGGCTGACCATTCTTCAACGCAAAAAAAAATTCCTTTTTCCTTTACCACATTGTTTACCAGAAACATTGGTGCACTAAAAAAACTAGGTATCAACCACGTACTCACAATTATAATTGTAGACAGTTTTCGAGTCAGTAATTTCCTCAGTGGAAAGCAAATAGCAAAAAATCTGTCGGATGCTATGGCTAATAAACTGAGAGCAGAGCAGAACGAGCAAACTTGTTGACAGAAGGGTAAAAGTTTACACAACACTACCCCGATGTGACCTGCAATCCATTCATCTGTATCTTTTATCTGCTCATAAAGAGATTCTGGCATGTTGATGACTGTGGTGAGAAGATCTGCAATGGCCATGTTTACGACAAAAGTGAAGGCCACCTTCTTCAGCCTTTGATCTCTGCGAGTGACGATTATTACTAACAGATTTCCAAACAAAGATGTTGCTATTATAACGGCGAATCCTGTTATTTTTGCTGCTCTCATGAGTAGTCCCTCCGGTGAAAGTAGAGGACAGTAGTCATAGAGAAAAATATCGCTGAGGTCATTCGAAAATGTGTTGTTTGTCGCGTTTGAGCTGCGATTCATGGCGTTGGTAACGTTATGGTTTATCTCCTAAAAGCGATCGTAAGCTTATAAATGACACTCAAAGCATCGCGAGAAAGGCTTACATAAGCCAGCTGATCTTCTTTCATATTCAAATTATATTGAATTGGGAATCATCGCCATTCATATATTCTTTAAGTGTTTAATGATCTAAGTTCACTTCAAACCCACCCACATCCGACATGGGGCCACATACAGAACCTTTCTGGTGTATGTATGAAGATGAAAAATTGTCTTTTGGTACCAAAGGCTGAGCATTAAGTTTTGTTTTAAAATAGAGGCTTCTCTGGTTAACTGAAATTGAAATATTTTAATTGACCACGAAACACTCATTATAAGCAGTATTTTCCCAAATAAGGATCATCTTATTATTTCTGGTAAAAAATCATTTGAGACTACAGGAAACGTCTTCTTAGATCACAGGCGTAGGAGAGAGGAAGCCATACCAAGATAACACTGACGACACCGTTTGCCCTAAATATATGTTTGGTGCACATCGTTTTAGAGTAAAAACTGCATGGAATAAAGTTAAAATGCACTGTAATGATTCTGGAGCCTTTGTCCCTAACCCTGGTCACGTGGACCAAGGTTAGCCAGTGACAAAACAAAAATAATAATTTACCCTGATTTCCTCTCTACGAAAAAGGGTACCAAAGGGCACGATCGTCTAACGACTATAATTATTCCAAATTAACCGTGAATGTAAATGAGTTTGCACTTTAGGTTGCACATGTAGTCCAGATATCAATATTTCTTTGAAAATGTGATGTCCTTTTTCGATTTAGAAAAAGATTGATTAGGGTGTGGCCCAAACGCGAAGAGAAGGGAGGAGATAAGGTGCTCCCAACACTGTCCGCTTTAACAACGCCAAATCGCCTTCCTTTAAGAGAAAACGAACATCCCAAAAAAGACTGAAAAGCTAGGCATTATGTTACAATGAAACGAGGACAAAAGCTCAAATGACAATGAATAACCCTATTAACTCTTTGAGCAATAAGTTTAAATTCGACTATTTTCTTATTGTATCAGTTGTATTGTTTTCTTTAAAATCACAAATATTTCAACCATAGCTGCCTCTTTCTACCGTCGTTTTCATTTCTGCAGTTGTTGTTATTGGTTCTTTTTTCAAACTAGCTTCTTCTTCAATCCAGAGCAATCTACATTTAAAAATCTTCAAAGGATCCCTTCGAAGTGGGTTTGTTTTCTTGTTGAAAAACTAACTAGAAATTCTTCCCGCATTGTGCTGAGCCTCACCATACGCAGTATTCCACTGTATTCTACTACTGAAAATTGTTTTCATTTTTTTCCTTGGAACACTCACATGCGCCACTAACCCTCGTTATTATGTACTGCTACATGCCTTTCAAATTACGCTTACAAATTCGGCAACGTATTTGTGTGAGTGATACAGAAATTTACTTGAGTTTCAAGAAAACACTACCGACGTAACTTCATATTTTGTGACTTCCGAGGAAGGGATAGCATAGCTTGGGTCTCCAATGATTAAAAGTCGCCCATCGAAGTTCAGATGAAAACTTTATTTCGTATCAACCACACACACCTCAACAAAAGATATAATTCGCATATGTGGACGTGCGGCCGGTAGAAAATATACTCTCGCCGCGCAATGCTAGTAAAGCGACTTGTGATTACAGAAGTTCCTTCTTGCGGATAAGAATTAAGAACTTCTGGATGTTCCTGGTCAACCGTACTCATTTTATCTGCTGCTTCTTTCATCGAAATAATCAGGTAGGTAGCAGCAGCGAGACAGTAAGCTATTTTGTTCTTCCTAAGCTGCTCCAAAAATTAACAATACTTGGCTTATCACACTCGATTCAGTTAGCCAGCGATTATGATATACTCACTCAGTTGCAAAAATGTGGAAACCTTAAATGCTTGAACCACGGAATACGGTAATTATGATTTACATAAATCATTAGTTAAATTTGAAGAATGAAATAATTTTTTAAAATAATTCTTTTCTATCAGGAATGTGTGAATGGCATCCATCTTTCGCCGAGAACAATAATTATAGCTATTATCTTTTACACAAGCGTACCCATTTCGTTGGATTTCAAAATTTATTGTCTAACGCTTTTCCAGTGTCAACGTTTCTGGAATCGAGCGTATACCACGTTCATGATAAATATTTGAAACCGAGATTGAACCTAACCATAGATGCTTTGAAATTAGGATCATTTTGATTACTACTTTTTTTTTATTGTTCTCAGTGACGAGTTTCTGATGCCGCTTTGAGGACTTTGAGCTTGAAACGTAGTCATCTCCCGATCCTCCTGGACGCCTGTTTGTGTGTTAATATCACTACCAGTGTTAAATTCAGGGTGTACCGTATCTGACCACTTAGCACAGGATCCTAGCAAACGCTTTACCCCAGTTCGATAGTCTTTGTTGAATATCAGGTATATGCATGGGTTCAGTGCACTTAAGGCATGGGAGAGAAAAAGAGAAACAAAGGCCGCAGTTAGAGGCACTCCACATTTGTAAAAGTCCGTATCGAAGGTCTCTAAAAAGAACAAGACGTGATACGGAAGCCAGCAAAGTGCGAAACAAAGAACGATAGCCATGAACATTTTTAATGCTTTTTTTCTGCTACGGGTGTAAAGTCGAGTAGTTGAGGCCAAGCGATGTCCTGGAGCCCTCCTTCGCCAGATCTTATAGACGACGCAACTGTACAAAGTTGATATGATTATTAATGGAAGAGCGTAGAAGAGCACAAACAGAATTATTGTGTAATCCCTTGCTGTCTTTTCGTCGTCGAAAGGAACTGGCCACTTTTCAATACAAAAAAACTGTCCATGATCTTCTACGACAATGTTTGCTACTAACATTGGGGCACTTGAAAGGCAAGGAATCAGCCAAGTACTTACAATAATAACCTTAGCGATTCTTCCTGTCATGATTCTCTTAAGAGGCAAGCAGATGGCAAGGAACCTGTCCAGTGCAATCGCTAGCAAGCTAAGAATAGAGCAAAACGCACAGACGTCTTGGCACAAGGGCAATAGCTTACAGAGAATGACTCCTGCGTCTCCTTTTACCAACCAGTCATTTGAATCTCGTATCTCAACCGTCAAGGCTTCCGGCATGTTAATCAACGTGGTAACGAGATCGGCGATGGCCATGTTTACAACAAAGTGGAAAGCTACCTTCTGCATACTTCGGGTGCGTCGAGTTACAGATATTATCAAGACATTTCCGATCAAGGACACCACTATCATAAGGGCGTACATCATGACTTTGGTCAAATATTGAGGCCTCGTTGCTTCCTTACTCGGAGGGCAGCCATCATCTATGTAATAGTCGTCTTCATCAGAAAAGGTGTCGTTGGTTTGATTGGTATTCACAAAGCTCATGTTGTTTTGTTTCTATCGCTTCTTGTTTTAGCTGAAACAGAATATGATACAGAAAAAAAAATGTGAAAATTGAGTCTTATCCTGCGATTAACAATAGCTGCATCGTGTGAAATACTCGTTCGGATAACAAAAAGCAAAAAAATTAAATATCAACGAGTTGAGAGAGGACTTCTGTTTGAAATTTCACATTTTAAACCTTTTAAGTCATTGATGGGACTAAACTAATCGACTTTTCCGTAATCATCTTCTGCCATACAATGGGCTCGCAATTTTTTTTTCTTGATGTCAACGATTCTCCTCAATCTTTTTATCGCCGGGGTTTTCGTTATTTGCCTTTTAGAGTCACAGTGGCAAGCCGTGTATAAACAACTAGTTAACTATGGATATAATAACAACATTACCACACGGAGACATATCTACTGACTGTTATTTGCAGCTATATGAAAGTAAAGGAGTACAAATGCTCCACATACATATTTGCTTAAAGAGTCCAGCTACGTGTTCCTCTACTTATCCACACTCTCCTCATTAGAGACTTACTCATTACGTGACTCATGGTCATGTTGCCCATCTTTCCGCTGCATTGTTCATAGCTATTCTCATTTTTGAACCAAAATGGTTCCTCTTCTTTTGGCAGAGATAGAGCTCTAGTTAAGCAACTGTTTTGCCAGCTGCCAATTCAAGAACAATGGTCTCTCACATGACAGAAAATGATGGACAGTTTTATTTTTATCTCATTTGTTATTATTTTCTTAGGGTGTGGATTCTGAATGGCTGTTATCATAATCCTAATGGCCTTTCGCGTTCTCTTTCTTTACCCTGAAGCATTCAAGATCGAGACGCATTTTACACACTTTCTCGTCGATCACTTGACCAGAAATAACTTACAATCACGAAATGACAATCACAAAGCAGTTATACATTGTTTAAAGAGATACGAACCAGCAGCGTGAATCCAAATTTCTGCGTTAGATGTGCATAACATGTCACGAATGAACCATTAATTGTCATCTGCCAACCGGCTTTTAGAACCATAGTGCTATTAGTAGTTAGGGTACGTATTTACTTGGCGTTTTGTATCAATGTATTTTTTCACAGAAACGTTATGCTCCAAAAAACTAATATCGAATTGTTTGTTTCTCTTTGTACCTAAAAAATATGGATTTATCGATTCGTTCTCTTTATGATCAAATTCCTTTTGGAATATTTGTATGGCGGCTGATGTCAAATTTTCATGACTGTTGTTTTTATCGAAACTGACATCTCGACAAGAAAAGAAACATTAACACTTAAAAGAAGAAAGAAATACCGGAGAATTGAATTACACTCAAAATTTCAAAAATAAATCTCTTTCGAGATCCTTAAGAATAAAGCTCAGAAGAATTGAAAAGCAAGCTCTTTAAATTTTCCATAAACAGATATGTTTCGTGCGCTGCCCGGGTGATTATAACCTTGTATATAGCACGAGCCCGACGGGGAATCAAGTTTATGTAAATAAGCATTCTGTGAACTCTCTTGGCGTAGCAAGTGCAGCGTAATTTTTTGTACCTGTACTAGATCACTCACTGTGTCTAAAATTTAACCTGACAACATTTTTAACCCTTGATCAATTTCTATTAATTGAAATAAAATGGAGCTGTAAACTGGACTTACTATACAAACATGAATCCTTAGCTAGCATACTAACGATACATTTCTTAAATCCGGATTGAGGAGTGGAAATGTTATGGTCCTTTATTGGAGCTTCCAGAACCATTGAGATGAAATATGATTATTTGTCAGGCAGTGACTGAACTGACTAAAGCATGACGTAGAATGATAGATATTTTTTCTTCAAAAGGTGAGCCAAGTGAACATAACCTAACAATGTCTCATTAAATGTACACTCACTTTTTACCCATAGCCAGTCATTCATTAGTATTTTCCATTCAAGATTTTTCCAGACCTTGAAGAGTACTTGAAGAGTATTGCTGTATAAAGTAAAAGCCCCAATTGCTGTGCTTATTGCCCGTGGCTAATTCCACTGGCTAGGCAATTCAGTCCAAACTTAAATCATTTCAGGATAGATATCGCAATTTACATAAAGTGATTATATTCATTGGGCATTCAGCTAATTTTTGGAGATGTATTAACTTTCTTGCTGTGCCCAATGGCTAAGTATAAGGCAGGCGCTATTCAATTAAATTGTCTAAACAAGAAGTACAATCGTTTTGGCTCTGTCAGTCACTCACTGATCAGATAATTCGAACTGTTGGCGCTAACGGGAATTAATAAAGGGAATTAAAGGTGACAAGAACGAAAAACTACGAACACTTTGATGTATCTAGAGTGTCGATTTTCCTTCAGAATTTGCGAGTAGCCCAAGATGAAAAGCGATCAGATTAACTACATTATGCTCAGACAAAGATTTTTCAGGCGGTAACGTCTTGATTCTGTTCCATTCAAAAAATTAAGAAAAAAGCCGAAAACAAAACAGGATGGCTTGAGATGTTTTGTAAAATCAAAACGAAGTTCACCTTTTGCGATAGTGCAACTGGAAGTTTTTGTTCGCTATTGCGAACAAATTATTTAAATTAAGTGATTGTTAAGATTCAGCATTTGTATACGACATATTCAAGTATGGCGCTTTCGGCGCTGGCGGTTTGATTTACCATATGTAAAGCTTCAGCTTTTCATTGATTAGTTGAGAAAAGGAACGCTCATCGACTGCTTGAATTGAACTTTTTGCAAATTTAACTCTTCCATTTGGGCTCAGGAGAATTTCAGTTTCAATTAATTTGACTAGCCATCATCAGCATTGTGCATGCCGACATCAGCTAGACATACTGTCTTTATGTGACTCCTCGCCAGGCTAATTGTCAGGAAGTTTCCCAAGGCTAAAGAGAATATGAAACCTTTGTCATAGCATATGCTGATTATGTTAAGTTGTTATTCAAAATTATTTAAGCATCGCATCTCACCGCAATCATTCGAAATTACTTTTTCATCATACACCTCCAGGCAAAAGGATATATATGTAATTTTGTTCCGGGCAGAGAAATTCCGACTAAATTATGTAAAACACATAGGGATCCATCCATTCAAAAGCTTTTCCCATCTTAAACTGAGTTGTGAATTTAAAGAAATATCTGATTTAACGCTAAGTCAGTTTGCTTTTTTTGTTAGTCTTCCTTCGTTAAAAACGCCACTTTTAAGTTATAGAGGATTCTTATATTGATTAAGTATTTTCATAAGGGAGACCATCAGCAATAAATCGTAATTAAGTCGCTTTTTTTTTTTCAAGATTTTGCCCTGACGGCAACTCCGTTTACGGAAAATCGTTTTAAGTGCGGTTAAAAATAAAACTGATAGTTATAAAAACACAAA